AATATATAATACACAACTACTATATACTTATTTATTGTAGTTGGTAAATAATAAATTTATACATTAGAAGTATAGTATTTATTTATTCACTTGTAATTCTCTTTTAATATGCGACCCCATAAGTTTAGGTATAATTAGCAGTACCTCATACTCATTGTTCGTTGCATATTATTTCCAACCCACTTCCATGTCTATAATAGACAAAAGAGATCAAGTGTACACATAGTGCTAAGCATATAACAACACGTCACTAAGACTTGCCGTCTAAATATCCCTTCATCTTGTGGTCATAAATCTATTCAATACATAAGGGGCCCGACTGATATCACACTCCAATAATGAGAGGAACATATCCCATATATTAATATGATTATATGTGTCCATCATCAGATTTCATACTACATCTGATATTATTTATAAGTGTCTTGTTCAAAATAGAATTTGACTATATCAAGGCATAATGTTATGCTTACTAAGAAACTGATATACACCTTAGGTCGAATTATCGAAACAACTTCACTTATTTTCAAGATTCACTTAGTGACGTTGATTTATGAAGCGCCATGTTGAGGTGAGTCATTACAATATTTACAAACAATGATTGCATGTGAAGTGACATTAAGGTGAATTATTATAATAATCACAAACAATGAACACATGTGAATTTTGTTTTTATCCCAAATATATTCATCTCGATAATATGATCAATCTTTCATATTAGTTTTAGTTCATAAATACTCTAATCGACAATGGAGATTTAGAATAGTTAACTACTCTTCATGTATTAAACATGTTATCATAGAACATTAAGCTTACATTACAATGTTGATTTAGCGTGCTATTGGAATTGGTTATAATATTTCCATATCTATCGCATAACTAGATCTAGAAAAGTATTTGTTGTTTTGCTTGATTTGTGTGAAATGACTACAAATCGATGCGATGCAGTTATTTGCTGCTTCCTCAAGCCTGACCAAAAAGGTACCATTACCTTTAACTACAAATAATGAAAGTTTCAATCCAATATTAATCCTAGAATGAGCATATAAGGGAGAAAGATAAGATGGGTGGAAATAATGGTTGGTGAAAACGAGGTTTTTGTAAATATAAATTTAGATTGTTCTTCTAACCATTTGATCGGTCTAAGATCAATCTAGAACGGTTTAGACTCAAAAGTGATCGTTATGTTACCATTACATTTGAATTATATCAATTGAAGCCGATACCATTTACAGACCAACACACAAATCGGTCCGAGACTGGGGTAAGAGCGCTTGAACTTTGAAATAGAGTATCGAAACCGAATTGTCAAACTGATTAGATCTGGATCACACGGTCCTAACCCGATCTGGTCTAATTCAAAAATTTTAAACCAATTCAAACTAGTTCAATAATTCACCTCTACGAAATAACATTCTGAAATGAACTATGCCATATAACATACACGTGTAATATACTCTCTTAAAAGTAGTTTGAAACATTTTACGTCTTATTTTATCTGCACCTAACACTTTGATACACATTTTCCATAGTCCGAAACACGTTATTCCAGTAAGCCCGAAACTTATATCATTTTCTATATTCCAATAACATTTAGTCATTATTTTAAACAGTGGCAAAAATACTACTCCATCAAAATTTTACTGTATTTCATGTCCTAGACAAAATCTTTATTAGAGTAAATTACACGGATCGTCTCTCTTGTAGGTGTCAAAATGCACATTCAATCCTTATTTTCAATAATTAACTCGGACCGTCCCTCGTTTGGTGAAAAGTTGCACGTTTCATCCCTCGTTAATTTAAATTTGCATGCTCCATCCCTTTCGAGACATGAAATGACAATTAATTATAATATACAAAATAAAATAAAAAACCCTTGTCTTAACCTCTTTTCTTCTCAACCCTCTTTCCCCCTAAATTCTTTTACAAAAGTCATCATCACCATCGGAACACCACCTACAACAGTTGACTACCACTTTTTTTCCTTGAATTAAACATCATTGGTCAAAGAAATCACATAACCACCAACATCAATAAAGCCATCTCACATAGAATTCATTACCACCACAACCTGTCAACCACCCTTATATCCAGCCATCAACAAACACTGTCAACACCTATACATACCCATTATCGAACTATTGTTCAGTCCATATTTTCCGTTCACCCATGTTGCACGATTTATATAGCACCACCATCAACCTTACCATTACAGAGTACAACCTTTTCTGTTTCAAATCCGACGGCTTTATGGGGTTGCTCAGCCACTAGAGGCCATGGATTCGGCTCCCTAACGAGAAACAGACCTCCTGCACAATTTATGAACCCAATCATCATGATTTATAGAAGTCAAAAAATTTCTTCAAAATGTAAATCAATAAAGGCTATGGATTTGGTTCCTAAACTAAAAACACACAAATCAGATAACCATGGCTTCGAAATGTACCGCCATTGTCGAACCATCTAGGGTTCGCCATCGTCGGTTGCACCATCTCGTACCTCAAATTCGTTGGATTTCAAAGAGATGGAGCTGGACCTAGGTTCCAAATGGGTCTATTCTTCCTTCTTTCTTCGACGATGGTGGCTCTGGTGATCTAAATTCAACAACTCCAAGAAAAAGATGGAACAAAAGGAGACGAATTGGTAGAATGGAATCGGTAAAAGAGGAGGCAGAAATGGTGCATTGGGGTGCATTTGGTGATTTTTTTAATAAAAAAATAATAAAGTAAGTAAAAGAAAATATTAAGGGTAAAATAGTTATTTTATGTCCACAAGGAAAAACCAAGTGAAAAAATAATTATACAGTGACGGTTCGAGTTAATTTTTGAAAATATGGACTGAATGTACACAAGAACAATTCGTATAAGACAAAATTGCAAGATTGGTCCCTGTAGTATTAAAAAAACTTTAGATAGGATCCAAAAACTTTTTCACTTACATAGAAGGTTCAAAATCAAAGGTTTTATTATTTTTGGTCCAAAAAATGTTGAAAAGACGGTTATACCCTTTTACTTTCTTTTTTATATTTTTAAAAATTTTCAAATACTATTTTATTTAAAAATAAAAAGAAAAAAAATAATTATCCTGTCTCTCTCTCTCTCTCTCTCTAGATCACCCACAACCCAATCACTAACTTCATCTTCTCTAGTGTTTCTTCACATTTATGTCCATTGAAAACTAATAGATCTCAGTTCACCACCACTGCCATCGACTGCCACCAACACTACTGTCTTCGACCACCACAACCATCATTGCCATCAAACACCAGACATACCCACACCACACCTATAGATTCCAGCCTCACGTCTTCTCTTCGGCACCACCAGAAAAACCACCTGCAAATCCTTTCTTTCTTCACCAGAAAACCCATAAAAATCCACACATTGGGACTACCATCTGCGTCAAATGAAACCAAACTTGATGATAATACCTTCCAAAATCACCTCATACGAAACCAAGCCACATTCATCCCAAATAGAGACTGTCGGAAAAGACATCGATGTTGATCATTCGGAAAAGACGTTGGTGTTCGTCAAAATCGCCTTCCACCTCATTACTGGAGATGCTACCAAAACCCTAAATCGAACGCCAATATCGCCATTATTTGGGATAAATCAATCGTAGGAAGCAACGACAATGTTCATCACTCTCCTCCTTTTTGATATCTAAATATCGGATCGATGGTCATGTATCCTGATCAATTCAACAAGAGTGATGTAGGTTTCACGATACCCCTAATATTTTTCTTGCCCTGGAACGTTGTTTCCTTGATCAAGTACATGGTTCAACCTTCAAAGTATCTGGGTTTGAACCTTCATCATCTAGGTATTAAAATTCTAATCGATTCAACAAGCCTATTCTTGTTTTAATCGCGCAACCACCTCCACCCACCATCTCCACACATTGTTCTTCAAATCTGGTACCACCTGCAAGTTACAATCAAATTCAAGAGAATCATGTTCATCGTTGTCTTCAGTTTACATCATGACCTTGTTTAACATACCACCAGACCTATGGATCAAGAGAAAGGGTAAGAGAGATCGGAGATTAGAGTTTTACCTATTTTGGGGTTTTAGAGAGAGAGAGAGAGAGAGAGAGTTTTACCCATTTTCTTCTTATTATTATTATTAAAATGTAAAAAGAACTGTAATACATGTATAACTATCTTTTCAAGCTTTTTTGAACTAAAATCACGAAAATTTCTTGATATTGGACCTTCCATGCAAGTTAAAATTTTTTGAACTCTATCTAAAGGAGAAATTAAATATATTCTTACATTTTATTCATACTTATCTTCTTACCATATTAAATGTCGACATATGTCACATTTAATGACACATTTAACGAAAATGATAATATTTTAATCTACTTATCACAATTTAAAATATACAAAGATAATAAAAATAAAATATAAAAATATATTTAATTTTTCCTGCTCTAAAATTTTTTACAAACCACATACACTAATTTAATTTTAAGGTTTTGCCTTAGTATAATTTACTCTCTTTAATAACAAATATACTTTGACATGTTACCGGTTTCTTTACCTCACACTTAATATGAATCAACATAGGAAGTCTCCATGGACCATTATTTGCAACAGAGCCGTACGGATTTCATTGAGCTGTTTACAGCCTAAACAGAGATCTAGCTGTATCCATTGCCAGCTGGCAGTCAAACCACGACTCCTTTTCCCCTGTATAACCCAGTTTTTATTTTTATTTTATTTTATTAACCGACCATTTCCCAACAACCCGACCCGATCCCAATTGACCCGACCCTAGCCACATAAAGACTTTCTCCTTTCATGCTTTGACAGCTTCACATCGGCTCATGTTCACCACACGCCTCTCCCTATATATACCCATCGCCCACAGATCTCCCACCATTAATTTCAATCCAAAACCTAATCCCCAAATCTCAAATCGAATCTCATTCATTTCTGTTCTTGGTTCTTGGTTCAATAATCTCTGTTCTTTGATTGAATAGTTAAAGTGTTAATGGCGGGTGAATCTGTTAAAGCGAAGAGACAACCTAGCAGGTTACAGCGGAGAGCGCCGGCGTCGATACAGGTAACTCCGGTCGGTCACTGGAATGTAGCGATCCCCCTTTTATCTCCGCTGGTTTTGTCGCCGGAAGTGAAGACTAATTGTGTTGAAAATATGAAAGAGGAGTGTCGACGAGTTGTGAATAGTGATAATAATAAGATCGCATCGGAGGCGGAGAAGACGCCGATTGTGTATAAGAAATGGCAACATCCGGCTGCTCCGTTTTACTACGAGTCAGCTCCGCCGTTACTGCAGTCGATTTGTACTGGTATTGTTGATAGGAGTTGATTATCAATTGATGATTCGTGATTGATACATAGATTTAAAAGGTATCATATCATTATAACATGTATTTTTGATTCGTAGTTTCGTAGAACTGATCGTTTTTAGATCTGTTGATGAATGATTCGATTCTTTTCTGTTTTTTTTACTCGTTTGTTTTGGATTACTTCTAATCTGAAGGAAATGGATCTCAACTGTGTATGAATAAACAATGGGTCTTGATTCTTGAATCCGTGTTGACTAATGACTAATATGAATAGTGGAAGAACATTTGTTAATTGTTGTAATTAGTACATGACTAATTATTTAAGTTAAAGAAACAAGCTTTTCATTAAATTAATTGGTTAGATACTCTTGTTTGCAATGTAATTGGTGTTTTGGGTGGCCTAACTTTACGTTGTTCCTAATTTTTAACTAAATTTTTTTATTGTTTAATCACACTACAATATTGTAAGTTGTGGGATGTTATAATAAAATAACCATATTTATTGATTTTTTTCAAGAAACGACCATCTTTAATTAGTCTTGTTATTATGATAAAAAATGACTATCTTACAATGTTTGTGATATTTTTTTTTGGTGGTGAGACATTTATGGTTCAGAATGTTGTAAAATTAACAAAACGTTGTGTGATTGGTCGAGTGACGAGTATGGAGTGATTAATTACTGCATAATAATTATTAACTTTAACATGTTTACTTAAATCTTTTATCACTTATCTATATAGTAACATTGTATTGTTGTAATAACTAAAAACATCAACAATTTTTAAGAATAAATACTAATTTATAGTTTTGATAAAGAAGATTTTTTAAATGAAGTATCTTTCTTGGTTTATATTTAACATGTTAAATGAAAAATTAGTTTTACATAACGGTAAACGAATAATATCGTAACTTCTTTTTAGATGACAAAACTAATTTTTTTAAAAACAATTTTTTATTAAAAATATTTTAAGTTTCAAAACGAATAATATCGTAACTTCTTTTTAGATGACAAAACTAATTTTTTTAAAAACAATTTTTTATTAAAAATATTTTAAGTTTTTGAATCTGGATTATCTTATTTTTAACCTAAAATAGAAGAACCAACGAAACCCCCTATCTCTCGTTTCAACCAAATTGTATGAGACCATGTGGTGTTATGACTAATTTGTATATAGAATTGAGATCAAAGTGACGCACATGCTTTACAAGGAAAACTCTTTATCCTTGTTATGATCTTCGATATAAAATCTTGAAAGATGATAACGATTATCGACATTTGTTTAATTTTATTGGTAGAAAAGTAAGTTAAAGAAATGAGATTCAAAGTATGAATACAAGTGTTTCAGTAGCTCTAGGTTGCCTAAGTTGCCAAAAAATTGGCTCCATTGTGTGTATGTTACAAATGTATATATAACCTAGGTTAAGTAACTAGAAGTTTTGGATCCTGTTGAACTAGTATTTACATGTTGCCTTGACTTGGTGTTTCCGAGTCTTAAGCCCGATTGAAGTGATTCTTTAGAGTTGATGAGTATTTTGTTGACTAATTCTGCACACGTAAAGAATAAAAAAAAATTATATCTGTTAATTTTGTTAGGAAAAAATCATAATGGTGATGCTCAGGATCCTGATGTACGTTTTGGGATCCTGAAACTCATTTAAGATCTAGAATCCTGGATAAGATTGAGAATCTTGACCCCTAACAATTGCCCAAAAATTATACCCGCAAAATAATTGAATTAATTTCAAATACTTAAAGCGTATAATTTAATTAAATTGAAATAAACAATTTGAAATTCAAACTCTAACGGATAGAATTTTATCCGTTCAATTAGGCATGATTATCCGTCAAATCAATTCTCTTTCCTTTATGATACCAAATAAATAGGGTGTAGGGGTTATTGATCATCCTTTACTTCTCTCTGCTTTTCTTCGAGTCTTTATTAGTCACCTCAAGGTAAATCTATCGTCTTATTTTCTCTTATTTTTCTTGTTTTCTCTTCATTGATAATGGGCAAGAAGATTATTCGTTCTCGTGCAAGTATCCTCGCTCATTCTAAGGACAATGTCATAGATTAGATGCTTGTGGCTTACGAGGATATTTGTTCCTTTAACAAGGATGATATTGTATCTTTGAAAGAAAATAGGGCTTTCCCCGCAAGTACCATCTTTAAGTATTTCGATGTTAAGGTCTAACCACATTTTGTCTTTCCCACTTGGGTCTGCTTCCTTGAGTATCCTTTAATTTGTGCCTGACTTACCTTTTTTATGGTGTCATCTCTGAGTTCTTTGAAGTCGCTAAAATCTCCTACATTCAGACCATGATTGTGATTTGGAGGATCCTTTTCTGGATTGATTGGTTGAATCAGTCCATGGATCTCAAGATCGATCTATCTGAGTTAGCTTACATCTATGATCTCTCAACCTTTGGGTCTTCTTTCTTCTTGTTTAAAGTTAATCCCAATAGAACAAATCTTGTTTTGAAAACCAAACATAACGATGGATCATGGAAAGAGAGTTTTTTCTTTGTGAGACGATATTCCATCCCCAACGACGATCTCCTACCGACGAACTGGGTTAAGAAGGGTAAGATTTGATTTATTAGGACTCCGAAATTCACACTCCTCTTATTTATTTATTATTTTTTTTTGCAACCATCAAGCTTGAAGAACTTGCTCTTTCCAATGAGGAAACCAAAGAGAAGATAAGCAATCTCCTTGCCTCACCTGAGATCGAAAGAACCTTCAACTATGAATCATCCAGTTTCCAAGAGAGTTCATCTACCAACTTCCCGATGTCTACCGGTAAGGATCCTTAATTTATCTATTTTATCATTATGATCTTGAACTGACGAGGATCCTTTGTGATTCTTAGGACCTAAGACCACTCGTTCTGGTGCCCGCTTCTCCTTGTCCAACCTTGAGGAGGCTATATCAGGCGGTCACCTTGTGATTAAGAAGGAAAAGCCTTCTTCCTCCCCTCTTCCAAAGAGGGTCGTGATCGACTTATTCGTGAAGACCCCTGGATCCAAGAAGAGGAAGCCTTCTGAGGTCCCAGACCTTATATTGGAGAGTTTGGGTGTCGAGGTAGCCATGAAGAAGTTGATCTCCTTCTCGGAAGTTGTAAGTACTTCTAAATACTCTTTTTCTTGTATGTTTGGTTTTTTTTTCTGAATGTATTCTTTCTTAGATTGTGGATCATGTTTCCTGATCCACTGAGGTTTGAAGGTGAGGGCCAAAGATGATGAGTGTGCCCTGAAGGAACAAGAGAAGATTTGGAAGGCGACCAATGAGGATCTTCTGATGAGGGTGGACCGGTTGATCAAGAGAAGACAGAGAAAGAGAATGAGCACACCTTGGAGATCGAGGATGTGATCGCTGAGGTGAAGAGAAGTGTCGCTGAAGCCGTATGGGAGGCAAAGATCAAGTTGATAGAGGATGTGGAGAATGCAGGATCCTGGAACATGGATGGTTGGCATGAAGCCCTAGCCAAGTTAACTGACAAGCACATTGATGCCAGTCAGGATCATGTGGGGCAAGTGAAGGAAGGAGAGAAGAATGATACAAAGGTGGTTCCAATTGGTGGTGGTTAAAGCATGAATTAGGTTTTCTAGGTTTTAAAACATTTTTTAATTTGGTCTGTAAAACAATGATTTTTCTTTTTGATGGGTTGGTGGGCAACCCTTTTTATTTTAATGCGTTGGTTTAATTATCTCTTTATGTGGTTGATCTGGTTGTAGAAAGTAGGTTTTTCTAAGAGTTCTTAGATGATTATGATCCTAAAGAGTTTAGGGTTTACAAATAACTTTTAGGATCCTAAAGATTTTAGATAAATAATTATTTGATTGGGGTTTGCAAATAGTCCGAACCCTAAGATTTGAAAGAGCTAAATTTTGGTTTAAAAAGTAGGAAAACTTTTAGACTAAAAGGATACGATGAAACCTCCAAAATATGAGGTAAAAATTATGTATCTAAAACAACCAAACACCCATTTAGCATTACTAAAACACTTAAAGATATTTCATATTATACACTATTATCAGAGTACAATCCCAAATCTCAAGGTTGCGAAAAATATGGGTGTATGCGCTGCGATCAAGCCGGACCCTTCTCTTTTGAACTGGAAGTACCTAAAACCATAAACACAACTGTAAGCACAAAGCTTAGCGAGTTCTCTAAATACCACATACCATACATAACCTATGATTCATGCATATCATAAGTATCCAACCTTCAATGGAAGGCGGTATGTTTCACATATAGTCTTGCGATTATGCCATGTGCCGTATCATGGTTTTCCTTGCCAGGCCGGGGACCAAAACCCTGGGTCTTTTAGACACGTTCCAGGAGTCGCCTCCTGGTCTTCCATGCAAGCATCACAAACACAACTAACATGAAATCTACAACTACTTATCTACTTAACTGCCAGAGTCCAAACTATGGTCTTGCATATAGAATTCTCAAGTGCCACCCACTGGTCTTTCATACAAATGCCAAGGGCCTCCCCCGGTCTTCCTACAATACATCAACCAATAGGGCCGACATTGGTGCCTTCGACCCATAGAATAATGAGGAGAATCACCTTGCACTGCTGAATCACACTAATAAACGTTGATAGCTGGTCCGCCAGTCCCCCGAACTATCAATATCAAATAACACCCAATTAACAATTGGAATCGAATCTATATCCTTCAATCCATACCTAGGGTAAAAACACCATTTTACCCCTTATCTAGCTTGGCCCAAGATTAAGGCCCAAACCTACAATCTAAAAGGCCCAAACATGACCTAAAATATCCCATGGTCAACCCTGACGAAACTTCTGATCAAATTCAAAGTCAACGGTCCATGTTGACCGAACACACCGTGTTGCCCCTTGGACACATAGTGTTCTACCAACATCCAGTAAGTTAGGAAAAATACCGGCAACACGTCGTATTGTCCCTAGAACACACCTCTTTCACCCGAGATTCCACAACTTAATACATTAAGTTGTTTCCTCTGATTCCAAACTCCAAAGCTT